ATAGTTAAAAACACTTAACTTGTATTTTTAAGACATAATTTACAAAAATTCTTATTTTCCATTTCATATTTCAAAAAATTTACTTTCACGGAAAATAATGACTTGAGTGCAAGCTACATTTAGCTAGCATATATATTTCTTTATATATCTTTTAGTATTTGTAAAATTGTTTTCTTATAAATAAAATAATTATCATATCAATTAAAAATCCATACAGTATCTTAAATTAAAATTAAAGTTGCAATTGGAATTTGCTTTTTGACACTCTTTTTTCCCACACAGTACATCTTTTTTTGTGATAGCACAATGTATGAAAAGCAAATGCAGCCCGACTTCAATTTTAAAGGGAGTTTTAACTCCTTTTTTTTTTTGAATAGTCATTCATATTGCCTGAGAAAGATGAATTTGTTTCATGGGTAGAAAAGATTGGGAATCATATGGAAGAGATTCATTTTTAGTGGTACAATATATATATCGGAAAGATTTTAATCATTAAATTTTGATGGATTTTTTTTATTTTAATTATACAATAAAAAATAATTATTTTTCATTCATTATCACATCTCATTCACATACTATATAATTTAAATTTAAAATTTTTTATTTTTAATAAAAAAATAACTAAAAAACTATTTAAGTTATTGAGAATTTTGATAGGTTTTTTACGAGGAAGAATAAATATCTGTTCCACTCACCTCTGAATCATAGGACATGTGGAAAAGCAAATACAAATTTTTTTTTTTTTTTTGTAAAAAATTTCGTCATAGTCAAATAAAGAAAAAAAATTCCAATAAAAAAAACCTTCATATAATTTTACAATTTTTTTTAAAGATAATAAATTGAAGAAGGATAAGTCACGGAATTGAAAAGACATTTGAGATGCAGAAGAAGATGGTCACGGAATTGAAATGCAATACGTGCCTTTCCTAGATAGCTCTGGAAATTTGGTAATCAAAAAAGTCAGTCCATTTAATTTTTTAAAAAAAAAGGCATAAAAAAGCAAAAAAAAGAAGCAGCTTTTTTTTTTTCTTTTTTTCTGTTTCTTTTTTCTTAAATAATTTCTGTGATAAGATTCTACGAAACTAGAGGAAAGAAGGTTTGTTACTTTCGTTTTTTAATACATTTTTTATGTTCCCAAAAAATTGTAAAGGGAGCAGGAGAAGAATTATAGAATAAGGTGAAGAAACAGGTATTTTAAATCCCAAGCCAGATTGGATTACTTTACTTGGACCAACAGCAATGACAATAGATGATGTGCCAACAAAACAAAGCTAGATTTGCATGTTCTTTCCTCGTATCTAACAGCTAGGCAGCTGGAAATCAGCATCACCTAAAGTTGAGAATGCAACTGCATACAACTTTTCATCCAATTTCCATGAACTCTTTTAACACAAAAACTAAACAAATGGGAACACCCCCCAAACCTTGGTGCATCTTTAACATTGCAAAATCTACAAGGGAGGAGATTATTTCATGATTTCAGAAGACATACATAATGATGTTAGTATTTATTTATACATATATGAGTTTGGGGGTTAACTCATTGAGTTGTTGAGATTTGACCAGCCCAATTTCTTCATTTATGCACACAGATTGCATCCACAAGGATATGCTGAGATTGTTGATAGCTGCTAAAAAATCTTCAATCTGGCATCAAATATGCTGTCTTTGTAAAAGGATTCAATGCCCCACTTTCAAATTGTCCAAATAAACCATGTGAATGTGATGATGCTCCATGAGATTTTGATGTTAAACTATTGCAACACTTGAAGCAAATGAATTACACCTCAGATATCTTTATGTCTTCTGCTGGCATAGGTTGGGAACTTAGGAGTCTTTCTGCTTCATCATTTGCTTCAGCTTGGAATCTCCATTTCTGCATCAAAACAGAGAAAGAATAAAAAAAAAAAAAAATCCTAATACATTATTTTATAGGACCTCAACTTCTGTAACAGTATAATGTGTTTAAGTGACAGAAAGATGCCTCTTCAAGATTCTCCAATTCCATGATTTGTTGTATCTGTTCAGCAATGGTTTCCTGCAGACAAATTTTCAATTAATTTTTGCTAAATTTGAGCCTTAAAATGAGGAGGAAATATATAAACTAGTTTTGCTCACTGCTGAGCTTGCTGATTCAGCAGCAAGAACATCAGAGTCCATTTCCACTTCAATTTCAATCATTGAAGAAATCTGAAAAATGAAAGATATCAACGTATATATACTAACTTCCTTTGGGTGAAAAGAAACATAAAAGATATATTAGTGGGGGAGGAACTGGAGGAAGGATGTTTGAATTAAGCTGTTTCTACAGATATAAAACCATACCCTTGCATAACTGTCAATAAGTTCAATCCTTCCCCTGAGGGAATTCTCCAAGCCTTCTCGCACCCTTTTGATTCTACTTCTACGTGCACTGAAAGACATAGAAAAAGTTGTTTTGACAGTGAATACGAGCAAAGGATCTTTAATTCAATGTGAAAAATGAAGTAATGGTAATAATTTTTTGGGAGTTTCACCGATAAGAAGTTTCTCCCACAGCATATATTTTGTTGTCCAGTTGGCACATCCGAGCCAATGTCCAGACCTTCATGTGATATGAACAAACTACTTCAATAAATCATCAAAACACTCTATTATGTTGTGGTTGAAGAAGAAGAAATTAGAGAAGAATTGTTAATAAACATTGTTCACTGATGAATTTAATTCACAATAAATAAAGTTCCAAAATTGCCAGACAACATAACATAGATAGACTCACTATGTCTTGGCCAAGTATGATATTCCAGTAATGTATTTTAACAAAAATAGATTTTCAACCTTGCAAAATACTCTGTGTCAGACTTTGAATTTCATTATTCATTTTGCTATTTCCAGAGAAGGAAGTATTAGAAACAATGATTTGAAGTTAAACTAATGGAGTTTCAAAGCTTTCGAGGGTGACGGTAATTCCAATTTTGGCAATGACACAATGCAAAACTTCATCATTCTGGAAGCAAGTTGGTGCTCAATGGGAAAGTAGTTGACATACCACATTTGCAATTAGGATAGGAGAATACCTCTTTTACAGCAGCTTCTCTAAGATCTTTAATACGAGACTGAAGTACATCATATTGAGATAAAAGCTGCTGCCTGATAGCAATAACATCTACTGATCTCTGGGGAAGCTGCTACCCCCATTGAATAGATAAGCATGTGCAACCCTTTGTGCAGATTTGAGGGTAGAAATATGACAAGGGAAAAAGCAATGTTTAAAACCTCAAAAATGACTGATTACCTGATTCAACTGAGGGAAAACCACAGTATTTAAGGCTGCTCCACAAGCAAGTGATCCTATGGCCACAACAGGCAGCAACTGAGGCAAGCTGGGATCTATTATTCCGGAGGCAGCATCTCCAGCAGCCAGAACAATGACAAGTGGGATGAGAAAGGAAGGGTTAAGTAAGGATGTATTTCCATCTTTTGCAGGGGCCCTCAGTAATAGAGATTCCCGGCCATCATTATGGTTTGTTAGGCACATAGGTTCTCCAGGGTAGAAATTGGGGGCCTTGGGACTAAATCTGAAGGGCCCCACTTCTCTATAAACATTTGAAGGAGCAGCAGAAGCAAGAGTTACCCTTTCACCTTCTTGCGCTGGGAGATCAACTGTTTCAGAGGCAAACCTTTGTGTACGTGCCACCCCAGAAGGAGTCTGTACCTGAAACATTGAAGCACATACAGAATGGTTCATAAGTGCTCATAGGATGTGTGCAACTAAAAACAAGCAATTAAGGATTTATAAGGTCAAATAAAAGTATACCACAATAGAGTGAACAGCAGCAGGAATGCTTTCTTTGATTATCGGTAGAGACTTTAGTCCCCTTTTCCATGCTGGAATCTCCATGCTGCGTTCGGCAGGAGGAGTTCCTTAGAAAATTGAATATCACAGCATCAACATCATACACAAAATGTGTTATCAACACTATAACTAACATGGTGCAGAAGGCAAGTCTGTGCTCTGATGCCTACTAACTTTAAACAGAACTGTAATGCTTTTGGGAAATATGTGAGGAGGAAGTATATTCACTATACAAAAATATCTTAAATCACTTGAATAAAGTCAAAAATTCCAGAATATTGAAGCAGAGGTAGATAAACCAACCTGATTTTTTCTGAGTCAACACTAATTACATTTCCAGAGAAAAGCTCATACTGGTAGCGGCATTTTGCACAAGATACAATCTGCACAAGAAGCATTCTATCCACATTAAATATTATGGATATTGAATGCACTTAAATGACCAAGACAAAATTTTGGCTCAAGTATTGACTATTAAGAGGGGCTAATTTCTGCCAAATTCCAAAAAACTGCATCCTGATTACTCATGCCAGGTAGAATATAAACATTTATGTTGAAAGTTGTGCAAATTTGGCATGTTGCAAATACAGATCCATCAACCTTCCCTACCACAACAATCAGATCCTAGAAGGCTAGAACTATGAATTATTACATCGAAAACAGACACCACCCCAGTACATTTCCTTTCCTTCCATACCTGAATGCCATGTTGTGGTTGAGCAACACCAACAGCAATCCTACAAGTTGGACACCTTACAACCTTTCCAAAAGGAACCTGTCAAAAGAGGGAGCAAAAAGCCAAAAACTTTTCAATCACAGTCAACAACCTAAGTTAATACACTAGGAACAGAAACTCCCAACATCCTGGTCAAGATTATCTCAGAATCAAAAGCAGAAGACCAAGGTCCTGCATTGCTTAATCCAAAGAAAACTTGCTCCCTACCTCCTCACCAGGAGACACTCCACCCTGGCAAATGTCATTTATTATCCTAAGAGCATCTGAGACCCTCAATGATGCCGCAAGACCCTGAACTAATAACATGTAGACACCCACATCAGGTCTACACCATTTCCATGTATCAACCAAAGGCCCACTATCACCAATATCTGCACCACATCAACAATTAAACATTGATCCTCTACAGTCTCAAGAGCATTTAACAAAGTATTGGCTATTCATGAAATCATTGAAGAAAAGACTTGTAAAGAAAAACCCATTTTAAAACACAAAGCAGCACTCACTACCTGTGTCGAAGCTGGACCGCATGGCATAGAAGACAGACAAAGCCAAGTCAGCATTGTTGCGATCAAGTGCAGCCTTAATAATCGAACGACAATCATGACCTTCAACAACACCGCCGTTTCTTTCTTTACTCAGAGTCAGAGCAATCAGTTCCAGAGCTTCGGCGGCATCTTTAGCACTGGAGACTCTACCAAGCAACTCCTCGTCCAAAACAGACTTCTACTCGACGTCACTGTTCTGGGTTTCCCTCAAGGAAGCTCTAGAATTCAATGGCCCTGTTTTGATCAGAACAGAGGGAACAGAACCACTGCGGAATACAAAAGTAAAGAGAGTGTTGTTATAGCAGTTCGAAATCGGAGGGGTTTGGAATGGTTTAGTGAAGTGAGGAGGCGGGAAGTAAGAGGGGCGTGGAGAGGATAAATTCAGAGTCATGATATATATGGCTTTTACAGGTTTTGGGTCAGGAAAACCAGAGGAATGGGAGCTCTGTTCAAGACGCTTTGAGCCTTCGAATTTTGGTTTTATATGTGACGCAAAAAGAAGCGATGAGAGATGAGAGGCTGTGAACAAAACAGATGATACCCGGGACCGAACGTTCAAAAACTTGGAGGTGCGGGGAATCGAACCCCGTGCCTCTCGCATGCGAAGCGAGCGCTCTACCATATGAGCTACACCCCCTTGCGGGGGAAAGCGATTTATTAATATTTATCTAATTATTCCCTTTACAAATAATTGTTTTCCCTCTCTTATTAAGGTAGCATCAGCACATTGAATTACCCAAAAAAAAAAAAAAAAACAATACAATGTCTTTTCGGTAATTAAAAACAAAAAGGAGACGAGGTTGTTTTTATTTTTTTTTTAGAAAAAAAAAAAAAGATTAAGTGTTAGTATATGTTATTATGTGGAGGTCGAATCTTGAAATTGGGTGCATTCCACCTGTTGCTTAATAAACAACGTGACCATCACTAAACCACATGGGGGATCTTTTTGGTAATTAAAAACAAAAAGGAGACGAAGTGTTAGTATCTGTTGTTATTATGTGGGAGGTCAAATCTTGAAATTGGGTGCATTCCACCTGTTGCTTAATAAACAACGTGACCATCACTAAACCACATGGGGGATTGCACAGACGAGATTGTTAATTAAGAAAGAAATATTAAAATTAAGGAGTTGTGACTTAATTGGTAAAAGAATTTACTTTCTATTTTATTGATTAAAATTTAATTTTTTAAAAAGGATAATGAAAAATTAATTTCTTTCTTAATTTTTTAATTTTAGTATAAATATCTTGTTTTTTACTAGATTGAAAGGGAATTAATTTCCAGATATATGTAAATTGATTTTAAAACATCATAGAGTTAAAAGAAGAAAGAAGAAAAAAGAAAAATTAAAGATTTTGCATATTGGTATAGAGTTGTAACAGAAAATAGAGTTGATGTGCAGTTGATACAGAATGAGTGATTTGTCATGGTTTGACGGGACAGCATGCGAACCTTGCGGAATTACTTTCGGAGAGATTTTCATGGCAGATGTTTGTGGTCATGACAAAGAGAAGCTTGAGTGGACACAAAACACAATTGCTCTCCAAGAAAAGAGATGACACTGGCATTCCTCTATCCATTGAAAAACCAGCAATACAATCCGCCTTTTTTTTTTTTTTTCGTTTTTTCCCATTTTCCAATTCCTTTTCTCTTTTATGTTTATCTGAGGAAAATCCCAAATCATTGTTGCAAATTTGGTTTCAAAATGGTATACTTAATAACTTACGGGTTTTGGTGTGTTAAACTTGCTTTGTTGTTTTCACTCTTGGATCAGCAAAAGAAAGTGCTGGTGAACGCTGATATCTCTGCACTTGGTCCCAACATGGATCCAACAACAAGCGCTCTCTGCAACGTCAATCTCATGGACATTCTCCCTTCTCCCTACCAGGAGCTTTCTGGGGCCACTTGTTCACCTGCTTGGCCTCATTTTGCTTTTAGGGTATGTTCCATTTCTAAAAGTACAATTTCTATGATATTAACTGTTATCTCAATTGCCCTCCTTTGGTTTCTCAGCATAATAAATATCTTAACTAGATTTAACCAGTCAATGGATTTTTTTGTGGTACCATGTTTTCATATATGGGGAAACCAAACACAGACAAAACTTCTGTTAAATTAGTGTGTGTTCACATTGTATCAGCTGTAACATGCAAGATATCGGTTTAAGGACAAAAACCTGCTCCCCTCAAAAGAATCTGCTTAACAACTAAATCAACAAAATGAGCTAAGCTTCATTTTCATAAAGATACTGATATGTTACGGTTCTCCCTTGCAGTTTTTTCAAACTCCGAGTAATATTACTACCATTGTAATATCAGGGGCATATAATGGTAGTGGATGGATTGGAATTGGATTTGCAAAAGATGGAACGACAGTAAATTCCAGTGTCATGGTGGGATATATAGATCCATCTAGCAAACCAACGGCAAAGCAATACTACATAGATCCCTACAATCACTCCCTAGTCACACCAGACATGGGTATTCTGCTGCTTACCAATGCTCCACCTGTTGTTGTTCTAAAAGATTCTTACATTTATTTGGGATTTCAGATGCGGTTTAGAAACCGTATTCACCATAAAACAGTTCTATTAGCTCAGGGGAACACAAATCCTGTTGGAAATCAATTAACAATGCATACGACAGCAAAGTCCTTGATTGTTGAATTTGCTGCAGGTTTGTTCTTTCCCCATGCATGTTCTTGCTAAGTTTCCCCTTGCTGTTGAATCCTAACACCCTAAGTTTTTTAGCAGTGAGGGAAAGTCTTTAGTTTCATTTCATTTATGAAGTTACATTTAGCAGACTTAAAAGTTTTCAGTGGTTGGACAGGAAGGCAGTTACAACTGATTTTTTGTTAGGCCAGCATACAGTGAGTTAGAATGGAATTGAATGCAAGGATATGGAACAAATAAAAATGAGACTATATCTGACATTAATATCTTTAAATTAAAACAATAGTTTACATCCTTAGCAGTATAATGGTTAGGTGGTACATCCATATAACATAAAATTAAAGTGCTTCCTAAGTTATAGTATTATAACTTGCATTTTTCCAACTAAAAACTGAACCTCATCATTCTTATTTTTTCCCTTCTCTTTTCATCACTCTTGTTATCTGTATCTCTTGCATTCTAAATGAAATTTCAGGAAGCTATCGTTAAAGTGAATAAATCTTCATTGAAGTCTTCTTTTCACAAATTCTTTCTCTCCAATGACAAAATTTTGTTCTACAGCTGTTAGTACTACTGGTGTTGGAAATGGTAAAAACTTGAAGACGAACCATGGAATTCTGAGCATTATTGCATATGGAGCAATCATTCCAGCTGGTTCAATTGTTGCTAGATTCTTCAAGCATCATGATCCTTTGTGGTACCATATTCATTTTACAGTTCAGTATATAGGATATGTCTTCGCGCTAGCAGGCTTAGCAGCAGGAAGGATACTCGATGAACAGCTGGGTCACCCTGTTCCACAACACAGAGGGCTTGGAATATTTGTGATTGTGCTCACTACTCTTCAGGTATCTTTCATTAAGCAAATCCTCAATAATTTTTTTTCCTTCTTTGTCCCATTTCAGTAGCATATATGCATCTGTTCATGTCCACGAGTGTGTTTGTGATTTGTGACATGTGTGACAATGAATATAGATGTTACCAAGTGCTAGGTTCATTTACGCTGAAGTCTAAATTGTTTGTTCCCATGCCAACGGATTCAAGTAACCTCCCTATACGCCAACCACCCTTCCACACCTTGAAGTAATCTACATTTGGCATATGCTGGCATGGGTTTGAACCAGATATTCCCAACCCTGATCCCCCTAGCCTACCTTTAAAAAATTACATTATTTTCAAAAGAAAGAGCAGCCCCCTATACAAGTCTGTTTTTTCTGGACTTCACTATGAACTGAACTGAAGAGAAGAGTGGGAATCAGATTCTATTACAACTCGGCAACTAGCACTGTTAATACTCCTATCTATCTGGGTTAGAACCTGCGTTACTGTTTACAGGTACTGGCATTTGTCCTAAGGCCACACACGGACTCCACATTCCAGAGATACTATCGTTGCTACCACATCTGGGTTGGTAGATCCATTCTCCTCTTAGGGGCTGCGAATATCATACTTGGATTGCAACTTGGACATGCATGTACAGCCATGAAGGTTACATACTTTCTCCTTCTCGCAGCTTATGTCATTACCGTGATTGTTTTGGAGATACGTTCGTGGAAGAGAGCTCCTAGAAGCATAATAGATGAACCTCCAGTCTTCAAGGTTGAATTAGGAGATGCAACAAAGACAAGTCAACTTCCCTCCACCCTGTAATAAGATAGCCATTGCCATGTAAAGGTACGATTGCCCTTTTTTAGACCTTTTTGGCTTTTCACTGTATATCATTCTCTCATAGTTCTAATAAAAACTCAAATGATTGATGTGGACGTTGTTGCCTTCGGTTGGCAGGGCAGTTCCTTACTCTTCCTAGGGTCTTGGCATGGCTAAGGGATATGGTGGATTCAGACTACAAAGCATTAATCGATTTCCTTCTTCTTCTTCTTCTTTTTGTACAGAACCTCATTCATGTTCAACACTGGAAGAATCGCCCCACCAGACAGTTACAATAATTAGTTGATAATTACACTCAACATTTACTAATTTCTACTTTCTAAATTAAGCAATCAAAAACTTTATAAAAATTTAATTGAGTTAGTATCTATTAATTACCAAAACCTAGTTTTTTAAGGTTAATACCAGGAATTCAAATCTGAAAAAAGTAAACTTCCACTGTTCCAAAAATAAATTCATCTAAGAACACAATCAATTTAAGAAGAAAAGAGCCTTTAACCAGCCACTACTAGATATGGAAGCCATCTCATCAGTAGCAAAAATCTCAAGACTGGTATTTCCATATTACTGGCCGCTACCAGCCTCCCACCATATGCAAACCAACGTTTCAATCATGATGATCTTTAACCCTTCTGAAATCCCAATTCAGTGTATAAGTAATTAACCATACTAAAAGCAGCAGCAATCTCCATTAACATAGGTTCAGAAAGTTCCTATTTCCCAAAATCATGTTCCAGATGCAGATTGCAAGTGAAGACTGTAGAAACTTGAAATTAATTGATCATTCCAGTTGAAAATCCAACCACACCTGATAAAAAGACTATACAGATGAACCGGAAATTGGAATCAATTATTGCACAAAACAAGTAACTAGAAAATGTAAACAGAGGTCCTGAACTAACAACTCCCAGCTTTACATCAACTAATGTTTGAAGAAATGAAAAGGTTCACTGCAACTGTAGGACACCACCTCATCCTTTGACACCAAGAAATTCCACCTTATCAGCAAAAGCAGAATTAGTTGCCAAATTGGCGTCTTGTCCATGGTGGTCTTTGCCGGCCACCACTGCCACCACTATTTCGTAGTACAACATTATTCTTGTGTGGAAAGACCCTCATTCGCTCCTCCTTCATATTGGCAAACAGTGAGTCCAGTGTTTGAGGCTTCTGCTTTGGCACTGACTTCCCCAGTTGCTCCTTGTCCTGCTGCTTATGTGGCTGCATCAACAAGATTGCATACTCAGCATCAAGACATAATAACTAATGAGAGAATCTATGCATTACATCTTTAGAGACTAGCAAAGGCCCCCATTCTTTCTGTTTAAAAGCAATAAATCCCAATCCCGTAACCATTGCCAAACAAACAAATGAAAAAGGTCCTACATAGAATTACAATCAGAAAAAACATATATATGCTGATCTTTTGATCATTTAAAAGTTCATTGCTATTTAACCACAAAAGCCTACTTACTCCCCCAGTCTTAGAAGATGGAAGAATACCTTTGCAGCAAACCCTCCATTTGGAGAACTTCTCTGGACAGGTGGAGCTTGAACCCTGCAAGAAGAAATAAAACAACAATCAATGGATAACTGAAATACTGGAAAAAAACATCATTGAGCCAAATCTCCAGCAGAGATGTCTTCATCCAGAAAGCCCAACAACCAGTACTAATCTTGAGAGCCATACCATCATAAGAAGACAAACTTTATATCCAACTAAATGAAAGGACAGGACAAACCATTACTCATTGGAATATAAACTCTCCAGCAGAGATGTCTTCATCCAATATGCTCAACAACCAACACTAATCTTGAGTGCCTTACCATCATAACAAAACAAACTTTACACCCAACTATATGAAAAACAAGACAAACCACTACTTGCAAATATAACTTCATTTTGGCAATGTTTCCCAATCAAACAACAAAGTCTGGAACTTTAAACCTCAAAGCTTGAAATTCTTGGACAACTCAAAATTCTTGGACAACTCAAAGACAGAGAGAGAGCCCTCCATGTAGAAGTGGATCTGGGAAAAACCACAAGGACCAATTTTCCAGGAAGTCCACAAAACAGCTAACTTTCAACATCAACAGCCAATCTTCATGTGTAAATTAACTCCCCCAGAGAAGCCACAAAGCTTTTGTAGGAGATATAAAGAATTTTACATCAAACCAACTACAGAAAATCTACTTAGCATCACCAACCAAACTCCAAACTTCATTATTTCTAGCACAAAATTCCAATATGCCCCAAGGCAACAACTGATTCTCTTGATAAAAAATCATAGAATTTTTAGTCCACTATCATTGCATCAACCCAACCAATCCTCAAAAGCACATTACCCAGTAGTATATTAGCAGGTACAGGTAAAATAAGATATGAGATGAAAGTCAAAGCATCAATAATTAACTTTGAAATGGGACTGGTTAGAGAAAACAATGCCCCCCAATAATTACTATCAGCAGTGCGTCATGTAGGACATACAAGCCCATCCATTAAACTCCAAAAAACTGAACCAAAAGAACTTGAGGAAAATCTAAATTGAAGGAAATGAAG